GTGTCTTATCATTATACCGTTTTAAAACTACCTAATCGAATTGTTTTTTTGTTTTTAATAAATACGCGCGTGCACACTATACGTCATGCTTGACGTTGCAGCCGTATAATATCCATAGTATTCCAGTAACAAACCTTATAGCCAATAAAAAGTAATACTTTAAGGGTTAAGGTAATGTTTCGGTTTTGGATTTTATTACGTAAGGTTACCTTTGTATAGAACCTTTATCGGATATGGTAGAATTGAACTTATTTTAGTTGAATTGCACTTGGGTTTAAAAAAGGTAATAGTCGAACTGCACTCGGGTAAAAAACAGGTAGTGGTCGAACTGCACTTGGGCTCAAAAAAATATTTTAATAAAATTATCATGCATTTGAAGTGATTTTTTATTTGCTGAATTTGAAATCATTCTCCGGGGTAAATTAAGTGGTTCTTCATGAATATGTGTCAGTTCAGACTGAAAAATTACTTTAGAAAATTCATCTAGATATAGTTTTGAAAGACAACCACGATAGGTACCACGCCATTTAGCACCATCATTTACATATTTTTCTTCACAATATTTTTAACGAGCTTTCCATTTTATTTTTTTTTTTTTGAACGAGTGCAGTTCGACCATTACCTTTTTTCAATCCAAGTGCAATTCGACCATTCATTTGTAGGTAATAAGTGCAATTCGACTATCCCGCCTTTATCCTATCCGATTCTGCAATATGCATCATCTTATGCAATAATATAAATTGATGCAATATTATTATGTATTTATAACAAGATCGATGCGAAACCATAGCAAGGAATATTGAGTTTTTTTATTTTATGATGCACGTAAGTACCGCCCAGAGATGATTTTAATCTGGTGGACCCGGTTTGCAGTGTTCGTGGTTTTCATTACAATATAATAATATTATATATTATTATACCGCCCTGGTATGATTATTACGGTCATGTGCAATGTGCCGGGTACACGCGCGAGTAGTTGTAATAGTAATATTATATTGGCGCACTGCGGGAAATCAATCCGAAACCGTCTATCGTCTCGATATACCTTATACGTATACCTATTTACCTGTAATATAGCAACAGTACGTCATCGTAACAATGTCGTTGCGCATTATTTTAGTAACAACGGTTAGACTTCAACAATGGTTGATTATTCAACGACGATAAGTGCTAAAGTAAAGATAATATGCTTTGTAATATATTTTATATGTATACGTGCATGAGGAAGGGTAGTGTTGCACTTCAAAATTAATTATGCGTCGCGCATTGTACGCGGTTTTGATTTAAATAATTCAAATACGTTGATAGCTTGTCGCAAGTCCCCCGGGCCACATGGTTTAAAACCACGTGATATCAGATAATACGTATAGTGATGGACGTCAATCTTTGAAAGTCCCTCACTCCCTCGACGACCTACACGACTACAATAAATCGCGGATTTCGCGAATAATCTTACGACACCTGCGTGTCCGTTGGGTTAAAAATGTTCGGCAAAGTGAGCCTAAACTGGAAAGTTGTAATAAATTACCAGCTAACGACTGATTACAAGACTTATTATTAATATACCTGTCATATATTAAATTTTCGGGGATGTTAATTAAAATGCGTGGTTTGTGATTCCTAAGTATTTTATTTCAAAGTTGAGTTAACTCCAAAATATTATCATTAAAACGATATACAATTACTATAACTAACTTTATGTCCTTGTACTAATAACGAATAAAAATGTATATTTAATAATCAAAAAATCAGGATAATGCGTTCTTAAGAATACACGCAAATTTAAATTTCCTCTCGTGTAAAATGCAGTAAAAGTGAATATTTGTGCCGTTCAATAAAACACCCACGAAAAATGCATTTAAATGTACCCACCGCCTGCAACTATTACATGTTGTTATTATGTTATATTATTAGACATTTAGTATTTCACAAGTTTTGTGCGTCGTTTTAAAACTAGCTCTATACTCTAATGTCATGGCGTGTGCTATGTAACGCGTAACTTGGTATCCATCCACACCGAGTAGGTACAAGTAGGTAATACATTACATAACGTACATCGTCGTTACATCACTCGCGAATTTCAGAAGGATTATCAACAAAGTCAGGTAATATATTATTATTGTGTTGGCATATATTGACGACAATCGTCTACTTTTAGTCCTTTTCGGAGGTCAGCGCAGTTAAAAATAAAAATCTCCCACAAATCAGTTAAATGTCATGCTAAATAATGCCGATCACTGGCTGCCATTTGAAGGGAGATGTAAGTCAACAATTATTGTGGTTAGTGAATTTCTAAAATAATATCTTAACTTATACCTACACTCTATATAAGTATCTACCATAATAATAACTCACTGAGCTTAAATATTATATACCTATATTATATATATATGATGTCCAATTTTTTAAAGATACCTACAACAATTATCATACTATTTCCTATGTAGAACATTTTTACAGACACTTCAAAGTAAAATTATGTCCAAGTGGTCTATAGACCACCGCGGTAGGTTAAAAATATCAGGTTTTCTTATAGAATTTAAGACAAAAACCGTTATTACGATCGGAGATAATATAATGTATATTATGGTACTGGTTTACAAGAAAAAAAAAATAAGAATTTATTACGGATCCCAGGCGGTCCTTCTCGGCTAAATTGATTTAATCAACATGTTCGGACCGTTTAAACGTATCTTATCAAATATAGGTAAAAACTAAAAATAGTAACAGCTAATGGACTATGAAAAAAATGAAGAGAGCGGGCTATGGGAAAAATATTTATCTATTCGTGTAATTTATTTCAAGTATTTTGAAAACGATCTGGTGAATTGTTGAGTTAAAATTGTCCCATGACCTTGGATAAAAACTCAATCAACTACAACTACTGTTGAATTTTCAATGAAAATGAAAGAGCACTTTTGACCAGTGAATAGTAATTATTATGCCATGCACAATAAAAATATAATTTCTGTTTAGGTATCATATCAAATAACCGGGAACGTTCTTCCGTATAAACGCGTATTTTTATATCGACGCTTCCTTTAACGTTATCTTAATACATGCAGTGTTGTGTTCGCATTTAGATTGTGCACCGTTTTATCAGTGTCCACACTATGACGTGGTATTTTTTGCATGCAGGAAACATATATATTTGTACTTGTTGTCTGTAAGTATTGCGTTCTAGATTCTAACATTAATTTTTTTTAATATCAGGTTAATCGTCTGTTATAATTCATGGTAGGTATCATACTTTTTATTAATTAGGTTTTTCTGACATTTATAGTAACAATAACTAGAAAAATACAATTTTAAAATTAGTATAAATTATTATTTAGTTTCATTTTACGAAAAAATAAATAAAAATAAAAAATAAGAGTAATTGTTATGTTGTATTAAAAGGTTCTTTCTCTAGAAAACATCAATGTTATCATTTTTTTTCTGCTTATAACCTAAGTTTAAGAGTTTGAGTAAATAAAGTATTCACACTAATACACAAGTCTACTTTTCCCGCGGTTTTAGATTTTCATTTGAATTTTTATTCAAAATTGTTTGTACTCGGCGACTCATCATACAGGTTAGAACTGATAAGTATCCATTAACCACTATGAACAAACATTTTTGATGTAGACTGTAGACTTAAGATATTTTGTTGGTGAACGATAAAAAAATCAAATGTTATTCTTAAGTTTAAAACTTATAACATTGAACCTGAAAATATACTACAATATACTATAATAACAATGGCATGTATAATATTGGTCGTTTACATGTAATATTATAATATTGTGGACATAATTCATAGATAAGATTAGTTATACCTATTTTTATCACTACATTATTCATAAATTAAAATATTTCAAGATGTAAAAACTGTCTTGTGCACGCTGCAGGGATAGTCAGTGTACCTGAAAGTAAATTTTATTTGCCTACATGAGATTGATTTTGCAACTTTTTAAATTAAGTGTTGGTTAATATAGAACATAAACTAATTTACATAGATTATGGGAAATCTTGATTGAGATTTGATTATCATTTAAAAGTGTGAGAAAATCAATTTTGATCAACTTCACGAAGGGTTTAAATTTATTTTCAGTAGCTTATTACTGTCATCAGTCATCATCCATCTCTAGGTCAACCGTGGATAAAAATAGTGGTTATGGGTTGTGATAAAAAAAACCTTGTGGCTACATTCGATATACTTAAAAAATTTAAGAAAAGGTGTTTCGACAAGTTTACACTATACACGACATTGATAAACTATAACATTAATATTTTATGTCATGCAGTAAAATAGCTCAACACGATTTAGTTAATTTTTTTATTAATTATGTTAAAATTTTAAACGTAAATAGCATAATAATTTTGATATTGTTTGACTCATTGTTAATAGTTACATACTAATGATTAAGTATTTCAATGATTTTACCATACTTGAATCTAGGACCAATTAATTAATTTTAAACACACCACTAACATATTATAATATAAGTGTGTATATGGGTGTATTTGTTTAAATTATTTATAATTAAAATACATAATTACAAATTATAAACATGTTTTTACCGTATTTTATCAGTGTGTAATTATAAAAGGAATGCTATTGTGCAAGCAGTTTTTTAAAAGGTCAACCTACTGTAGTAATGTTTATTGTTTAGTATGCCTTAGCTATTAAAAAAAATTAACATAGTATGATATAATGCGACGAAATTCAATGGTGAACCATCAATGCTCAAATGATGTACAAATAACATTACTAATGTTGACTGGTGGGAAACTGCAAACTACACAGAAGTAATAATTATAAAAACAAAGATTTATCAAAATATCTTAATTTAATGGAAAATACTTAAGACTATAGTGTTTTTATTTATTTTTAAATATAGTTCATAATTTTGTCATAAGTTTTACATAATACATTTAAATAAAAAATTTTAAGGTACAAAAAAAAAATGTCGTATTTACATTTCAAAGGCATATTAATATCAACAACAAAATAAGACTTAAATTGAAAGTATGTGTATAATTTATGTACAATGGGTTTGACAAATAGAGAAAAATGCGAAATTTTCTACTGACTTTTTTTTTAAATACCCTGTGTGTGAATTCGTAAAACTAACTACAATGATAAAATTATCTTGACATCAAAGACCCGCCGTAAAAATAGATAATTGAACACTAAGAAAAAAAATGAAAACAAAAACACACACATTTCCAGTCTTTACAGCACACTTGCATGATATATGTCAAAAAGTCATCAATGTTAAAACTTAAAACATCAACACTGTTTGATACACGTGTGCGCAAATGTGATTTTAGAATACATAAAAATACTTATGATATATATAATAAGTATTGGCGATGAACTCTCCATCCAAAAATGATGTCATGGTCAATTTGCGCAAATCTTATCGTAAACAACAATAGTTATAGTAAAAATAATAATAATAATAGTTAATAATAATAAATTATATCGATAATTAAAATAATAATAATAATAATGATAATGAACGAGAAATAAGTCACTAAAAAAACGTTCGAATACTCGTTGTTGGGTGCATAATTTCTGGGAACCCGGATGCACTCAGATGTAATAATATTACAGTTTTACAACATCAACAATTAGTAGATGTATTTGCATGTTTTCGTTGGTTTCCCCATGCAGTTGAACGCGCTTTTGAATGATTCCGAATGTTCAGATATCGTTTTTAATCTGTAAAAAACGTAACATTAACATGAAAAATAATTTGTTGGAAAAACGAAAAAAGCCAACCCACAACTCTGAACGCCTTAAATAATAACACCATGCCACCTTACATAAACAATATGTTGCCTATACAGAACGCCTCGTGTTACTTCCAACCTGTGACGCCCAACTCACAATATATTTTATAAATACACAATAACACTATTATACTTACAAAAGAGATTCGTCAGACATCAAGTCGTACATGGTGTCCAAATCTTGTTGTTGTGGAGATTTGATTGTGCACAGAGACTGTAACGAAAAAAACACGGATATTGTCATCATAAAATTGGCATTTTCTATAATATTAATTTAATAATAGTATTATCATGTTAAATATACAGACACCGAATTATATAAAGGGCACTCTTTATAATTTGAAACTTGGATATAAAGAACCGTATACTCAGAGTTCGGTTATTGCAAAAATTAATGATAGCTGTCACTAACTAAATTATAATTTTATTAAATTTATCAGAACATTAAAAAACACTTAATAGATCACTTAATATTTAGACTCTTACAGAACTGTTGAGATTAATAAGAGATTAATATAAGAATATTTCAAAAATCAAATTAATTGTTGTCTGTATAAATTGCACTTCATTGTTGTACTATTGATGTCCTTACTTGTGCATATCCTATGAAGAACAGAGCGTCGTATTCATAGGACTCCATGGCTGGTTGATGGTAATGCGGTTCAGTTTGAGTTTTTTTCGTTAAGCTCTGTAAAAACAAGATATTAAATATAATGATTGCATTTTCAAACGAAGCTTAAAATGAATAATTTACGATAGTTGGTGAAGTATATTTAGCTAAACATTACCACTTCTCAAAAGGCGACAATGGTGAGGGAAACAGTTGTACTCAAATAATTACAATAATAATTAGAAAACATAAACCGAGATTTTATGATCAAAAATGTATAGTTTATAATATGGTGATTATCGAATATTAGCGCTGAAGTGAGATAAGGTTAAAAACCTATCTTAATTTATATTAATACGTCTACGAGCAACTTTTTGATTGCTGAGTCCATCTAAAAGAGGTTTCATACAAAATGAATAACAAGAAAAATATACACATTATATTGTCATGCGTTTACCAGAAGCAGCAAGATCAACACCCACTAAACAACTTTAGTGTCGATTCATTCGTAAAGTCCAACCTCTCCTCTGTATACAATGTCTATGAGCTATTACGTATTGTGAGTTGCAATAATATAAACCGCGGTGACATAAATATCACTATCACACATCTTTATCATTTGATAAACATACCTGCAGGGCAAACCGGACACTCGATACTGATAACATGGCTGTCAGCACTGTGTTGTTAGCGAACTCCACCTGTTGCTCCTTTAGGAATTGACTAAAGCAAGAGCGGGCCTCAATGGTGGCGCCGATACTTCGGTTGACGGCCGCCGAGTGGGCTTGTAACAATACACCGTCAGTACCGTGAGCCACTCCCGGTGGATACACACTGGACAGAATGGCTGAGCTGATTTCTACACCCAAACCTCCATACAACAAGGCCCTGTTAAATATTAGAGACGTTAGTCCTAAGATGGATCTTACAATCGATATTAGATCGATGTACGGCTTTGTGAACACACACATAATTTTATATTTTTTTGTACTTACTCGGGATAACCGGTCTCGAAATAAGGTGGCGACAGCAACGACAGTGGAACGATTACTTTGTTACTGGCTACGTTGTATGTGACTTTTGGATCTTCAGACACCAAGTCATCCAACCATCTACGGAAAATAGAACAAAGGTGAACTTTAAAAAATATTCTGATACATGCATAAAAATTTTATGGGAATTGTAACCAATATGGCAAAATGTTCCGTTGAATGGCCGTAAAACAAAAGATTGTAAATATTAATCAATTTATCTTATTATCAATATTATCTTGTTCAATGTTCATAGGTAATACATTTTATGATGAAACGATTATTCAATTTACTCTTACAAATATTAACACATATCATATTTATGAATTATTATACTAGAATAATATGTTAAAATTATCAAAATGAGTACAACTTTTTTTGATGATTATTGATCTTTTTTTAAATGTATTTAAGTTAAAGTACATTACCAATATGCATGTGGCATAGTAAAAATAATTAATAATACCCTATAGCTAGGATTCCTCATAAAGTTGACACAATATTTCTTAGTAAAAAATTAAACAAAATATATTAAGGTACAATTTTGGTATTATAATATGAAAATTACCCATATTCTTCTTTCTTGGATTTGAGTTTGATCTGCGAATAATCTTTAATGAATGATATGGCGTAATTTACGTTTTGGAAAAAGTCGAGCTTTTGAATGGGCAACTGGTTATAGAATTGATTTACGTAGTTCTCTTGGAGCATATTTTCTGGTAACCCGATTTGTACAGTCAATGAGTTCAACTAAAACGGAAATGAATGTACAGTAATCTACAACCCAAACTAAATAATTTAAATGTGTAGACTATTACCTTGTTTAAAACGTGATCACTCAATTCGGGTCCTAAGTCTTGGTTTTTATTAACGTTTGATATGACTGACTCTTTAATGTTCTCAAAAACGTCTTTCACTACGGCTACAACGTCAGCTTTTTTTTCGACATTCGGTTCCAGGGTAGCGGTTATACCGAATCCCATAAACTTTTGCAACAGAGAAACGCAAATCTCCCATCTAGGCGGCAAATCTTTCTCGCCAGTAAGTTCGGCTGTGTAAATTTTGACAATTTCCCTAAACTTCACTGACAAATATGGGACATAAGCTTCAGCCATTTTCCACATGAAATAGTCGTTTAGTCCACTATTTGAAAAATAAAATTACAGTATTTTGTTAGAAACGAAGTTATCTGAATGTACTATGTCAAAAAACTAACCTGCGGTCTGACGATGATATCAGATTAGATAAGTTACTGAAATAAGTCGGCGACACAACCGAAACGAACGTGTCGTCACCAATGTTACTTTCTGGAAACTTTGATTGCAAAATGTCTAAAAGTGGGATCTACAACGAGGAACGAAGTCGAAATAAATTTATGATATATACAAAACTAATTTTAAATAACTAAAAGTATGGATCACTACATATTATGTTTGTATATTTTAATATAATATCTTCGTACCATTCCAGCGATTTCTTTCAGTTTCGACAACTTGAATCGTCGGTGAGAATTAAATGGATCCTCTTGTTTGCTAGCTGGCGTTATTTCCGCAATACGTTTCTCGTAGTGGAACATGTCGTTGCTGAATATCGATGCGTCACCACTGGTAGCGCCCAGTAATTGCGATACGTCCACCATGTACTGTTTGTACGCGGTCACAATCTGCAAATAATCATCATTTATAGTATAATACATCTGTAATCTAATTCTTATTATATTGTTATTATAATTATTATCTTAAGTTGTGTGCAAGCAAACTTACTCTGTTTTCTTGCTGTCTATAGTAATATCTTCGGTCGGGTAACCCTAGTCCTGCTGGAGATATCTGAAATAGTAAAATCATTCAGTATTTTATACGACAACCAACCAAAGTAATGACATAATAATAACACTGATAATAATACCTGAATTATGTTTTGGCCTGAAACCTTATCGTCTGGAACAACGTCTATCTTGAAAAACGGACTCACGTTGTATTTGGAGTGCAATTGTACAATGGTACTAGTCACGTCCCACTCATGAACGTTAAAATCTTTTAATACATGCCAACCGCCTAATGTATAATATAAACGTAATTGAATTATATTATATTGTAAGGTACACATAAAAAATCATTTAGAATGGACCACCCGAGAGATGAGGAACAAAACATACCTAGGATTGTACTAATAATCTTCTTTAAAGGTTTTCCTTCATCTGTTTCAATATTGTCCAGGTTCATGCACGATTCGTAGAAATGCTTCATCTTCCAGTTCAACGAGGTGGAACTGGCAACGTTTCTCAGCGTAACAACCATGTTCCTAATCTTTATTTTTTCTATACAAATTCAAAAAGTACGGTTTAAATTTCAATATTTATTTTACAATGTATAATATTTCTAACACATATAATATGCACTCGATGTACTTACGATCTTGTTGAATGCGTTTTTTCAAACTCCACGAACTCATGTATGCCGGCAAGTCGTTGGTTTGCAGCCATCCTCCACAAGAGTATTCTCTAAAATTTTCGCACGGCTGTTGAGTAAAGTTAATTTTGGGTAGAACCTTTAAACAAAAATAAATATCACATTAATATAAGCACATATATATAGTATGTTTAAAATTTAAACGCCAAGTCACAAAGAGTTTCCTGTAGTATTCGGTTGCGGATCGTTAACTCTATGCTTTATTGCTTTAATTCGATTTCAAACTCTAAAGAAACGTTATGGGCGTTGTAGAACATCATACGTAGCGCAATAACATCTAAACGTTATTACAAGTGTTGAGAACCATTTTTTTTATTTATTTTTAAACAGACGACCTACAACGATCATTTAGCTCTGGATATAAATTATAGCATTTTAGGTTAGGTTCATTGTTACCATACCTTGATACCTAAACAATAGATAGGTATAGAATTCATGTTAGACACGCATAACAGTCATTATAAAAATATATACTGAATACATTATTATGACAAAACATAAATGAGATTTATAGTTAGATTTCATTGATCGATTAAATTATAGATTGCTATACGTCCCGACTTATATACGCGACTGTGCAGTGTACCGGTTTTGATAATATTATAGGGTCCCAGTATCCTGATAATGTGTTTCCGGAAGACCAATATTGTCCTTTACTTAAATTATATCAGTACTACAATAATTGTATATTATTATTTAATATTACATTTCAATCAATATTATTACAGAAATGAGTAAGCTATTCAACATTTCTAGAGACGGCTTATAGACAGTTTACATAAGTAGCAATATCAAAAGAAAAAATACATAAATCAATCACAAGTAAATATTTTACTGAGACCAAGTAGGTATGCTCTCATTATTTTGAAAACGTAACCACAAATGGTATATAATAGTATACATTTAAACATTTTAAACCCACAATGAAACGCCATCAACGCCCACTCAAAAAATCTTATTTTCTACCTGTTGCACGTATATTGAAGTTCTATGAATGACTTTAAATATTCACTCCGTAGAAGCTAAGGTAATGTATAACATCTGACGAAAAAATACTTGCATTATTGTGGCAAAATACTGGCAACAAAATTTGTGTAAAAACATTCATTACCGTCTTCGTTTAAAATACTAAATATTAATGATACAATTTAGTAAGTATATTTATGCTATAATTTAAAGTATATCACATTCGGTGGGTTTTTAAAAAATAAATATACAATTGAGGTATTAAGTTCGAACTTAATGGAAACTTTGGGAATGCAGTCAATAATAATGAAATTCAATAACGAAAAAATATCGTAGAAATTCGCGTCATCTACGCTGTATACAGAGCAGCTTCCTCCACTATAATATGTGCGGCTCATGATAAAAGGGGTTTTCGATACGGACGAGAGACGTTCCGGTCCACCTAACGTCAAACGACCGTCGAGACGAAAATAAACGCTGCATCACTGTCGTCCGTGCATCCCGTCACGTATTAATCACGATATGTTAATATATATTCCGCGTGCCCATGATTTAGGTATTTTTAATTTTTATATTTTACCCCGAAAATCTCAATGCGTAACCCCTGTGAGGGATTAATGAACCGTGTTGGCGTTCAATCGAAGTGGGCTAGGCCAGCGGTTTTTTCGTCGTCACCCGAGCCTCGCCCTCGAATCTAGACGAGGCGTTACTGCTACAGCACACGATGGTACTAATGATAATGATGATAATAATAATATACGTTGCATAGGCCGTAAAAAATGCACAGGAGTGCCACTCTCGGATAGAGCACGCGCGCCCTATATGGCTATATAAATAAATATATATAAATGTATGAATTCACGGTCAGATATATATATATATATATATATATTATAATTCGTTTCGTTTCAGGTCCTCGTAACACAGTACGGGTGCACAACAAAATGGTACGATATTATTATACTCGTAGGAATACTTTCACTAGGAGGTCGTGGCCGCGTTCGACAATAGGCAAGGTTAAGGACGCACACGTTACACGTTATAATACTTTGTTCTCCACGGGTAATCTTATACCCTGCATAATATAATATATACCTGTAAGAGCGAGTGTTTTCATATAATTGAATTCGTCACAGCTATATAGGCCTCCGCCCGGCCGGCGGTGAGTGATCTCGGCCAGCGAGTCCGTCCCACGTAGATACATAAGCACATGGTGTACCTGCCATCTACGGAGATGTAACCGCGTGACACACAGTGGACAATAAATAATATAATAATAACGTCACGTTGTTGATGCCGTGTTAGGTGTTGTGTCGTACCCTGCATGTTGTGTACCTAACATAAGTCGAATTTCCAGCGTATTCCTCTCTTTCGGCGGTTGTATTTTTTTTTTACCTCTTTGGTGCTCGTCGACTTGAAAGCTTTCGCCGTCAACACGATCGTAAATAATATAATATTTTTGTATAATATCGTCCCGTCTGTCGCTCAATACACTGTATAGTATACGATCGTACATAATATAATATATTATATCCTTAATATTTTATGTGTATACACATTACACGATATAAATAGCATAAGGATATAATAGCAGTAATACGAGATCGGAAACAGCATAACGACTGTAGCGTTTCGAATCCTGTGAATTTACCATATATGTGACTTACGTTTTCCCCCTAAATCGAGTATATTATGGAGCATAAATAATTATATATTGTCAAGCAACGTCCGTGCACCCAACCGACAGGTTTACACCACGTGTACATGTGTGTTGCGCTCCAAAAAGTGATAAAATATCCTCGGATAATATTGTAGACAAAAATATTTTTAAGCCCCGCCAATTTCTATATTTGCTCTCAAAAAACCAGAATTTTACGAATATTCAAGCAAGTGTTTATATTGAAATTGTATAACAAACAACGAAACATTGAATACTTATGATGGTAACAATAAGAATAACTATTACAACTGATGGAGCAAAGAAATATCACCAATAAAAAATTATCAATATAATATATATATATATATTAGTATTATAGCTTCGATATTTTACTCATAAAAAAAAGATAAAATTCCTTTAATTTGAATTGACAATCAAGGACAGCATAGAAAAAACATACGTAATACATTCAATTCTATTTTTTTTTTTTTGAAACCTTCATTGTTCATGTTTTTTTGGAAGTATATAAAAGTTTTAAAAATCATAAACAAACTAAGTACAGTGTATTATTAATATAAATAACTACACATTCAATATAAATTAGATAATAAAGTACGATTAGCCTAAACACACAGTAGCGTATAAACGAGGAAGGGGTGTTTAAACCCCCTTTGGTATTTTTTACTATATGTAGAGATGTATAAAAATGAATAAAATTTAAGAAATATTTTAAAAAAAACATAATACAGGTACACATACTGTTTTTTTATATTAACCCTTCGCATTGAAAATATCGGTGTACGTCACTCAATTAGAGAACTTAATTGAACAGTTTTCATAATCGTATTAGATATATTGTCATTTTTAATTATTAGGTTATATAAACTTATTAAACATATACACCAAAAAAACAATTTTTTTTTACACACTTGTGATTTTTTGAATTACTATTTTCAACGCCGTATGTCTAATCTATATCTACTAAATTCCGTTAACATTTGTAATAAATAAAACTAAATTGATAAAAATATTGTTTATTTGATTATTCATTGATTATTGTTTAACCATACGTCACCAAAACATTTCAATGTGACAATGCGTAGTATGGCGAAATTAAATTTTGAAACGCTAGTTTCCGATTACAGGACCTTATGAAGTCATATGTATCATATGATAACAGTAAATGACATTATTATAACTATACGTTTGTACTTGGAACTCCACGATAAACCACAAATATTTCGTCGCACAATACATGTGCCATCATATCAATAAACCGCGATACTTCACTTTAAACTGATTAACAATTGACATTCAATACATTCAATATAATATTAGTTTCTTGTGGATAAAATTTTTTTACACAAAAACAATTCACAATTAGTAAATTATAACATATTAAACAAATACGTGATTTCCAAACGGGTTTTTCGATACTAAAATATAGTTTTTTGTTCGTAACTAAATAATGTACAGCACCACTTGTCTTGCAACAGCTAGAATTGTAAAAACACGAATTTATAACCGAATAGGTATTGCTATTAACGATGGTTGAGAACTTTAAATCTCAACGCCAAAAGCGTTAACAATGAAGTATAAGATCATGCCAGAGTACATCACGAGAAATTTGAATTCATCGATACACAGGTCACAGACACTAAGCTCGCGGGAACAAAACAACCGACGAATGAATATCGATTTCCAACGGAACAGTGTCAGTCCCATCTCTCGTTATCATCGTTTCGTACTCCCTCGTATGCACGATTTCATACGGAAATACTATAAATTCATATAAATTCCGTACAGGATATTTGGCGGATATTTAAAATATAATAATATTACACGTAAATTATAAAGATACAAATGTATACGTTGGTTTTTGAATGTTGAGTATTATGTGGGGACGAGGGAGACTAGGTTTGAGAACCATTGCGAATAAAATATAATGTACGAGTGTCGGTTATGGCGTGGTGGGAAAGGAGAAGAGGAAACCAGTCGAGAATAATGTGGACACGTACGACGTACCGCTAAATTATCGTCTCTCTCACATACACTCACCAACTCCATCCCTCTCTCTCTTCGCCATGCAACTGACCCTCCGGCCGGACAGCCGCCGACTCGGCGGAGTATCTGGTCCGACAGTCTCCCTGCGCACAAGAATGCGCGTGCACTGCAGCACACAACGTGCACTAACACACTCACACAAACATTAATATTCTAACAAACACACACACACACGCACCGAGATCAAACCGAGATTACACCGCGTCGGCGGACGGAAAACTAAAATAATAATACTGCGACACACACGGGAGAATAATTATAATATTATAGCTCGTGGTTGTGAAACAATAGTACGTCGCGATGCTTGATGTTGTATGGGCATACCTGTTGAGCGCGTACAACATCATGTGTACCTACATCTGGTTGCCGTGCGCGGTGCGGAGGTAGAC